ATACATCCCCAAGGAAAATTCTTCCCTTTGGAACTTTCTAGTTGCTTTCCTTGCTATAGGTCAACTGCTCCTTTACTGAACTTTATCCGAAGGTGAACTTCAGCAAGATGATTTTTACAGGCATGCTTGTGGGAGTGGACATTTACGGCAGCCTCCTCGGAGGGCAATTTGGCAATGTCCATAAAAAAAAAAAAATCATAGTGTATCTACCCTTTGGCCCAGCAATTCCACATCAGGGAAATTATCCTACAGGAAGACTCACACAGGGAGGCGAAGGATATACAAGATATACTTATGGTAGGATTGCCTGAAATGAAAGAAAGGAAAGAAGAAATAAAGGAAGGGAGGAAGGAGGGAAGGGAGAGAGAGAGAGAGAGAGAGAAAGGAAAGGAAGGGAAGGGAAGGGAAGGGAAGGGAAGGGAAGGGAAGGGAAGCAAAGGGAAGGGAAGCGAAGGGAAGGGAAGGGAAAGGAAAGGGAGAGAGAGAGAAAGAAAGAAAAGAAAAGGAAAAAAAAAAGGAAGGGAGGGAGGATGGAAGGGAGGAAGGAAGGAAATATGCAAATGGAAGCAAATGTCATCAATTGGGGAATAGAAAAGCACAGTCCCTCAATATTGGAAATTTTGTCATGATTTCTTTTATTATTATTATTATTATTTTGAGATGGAGTCTCACTCTGTTGCCCAGGCTGGAGTGCAGTGGCGCCATCTCAGGTCACTGTAGCCTCTGCCTCCCGAGTTCAAGCGATTCTCCTGCCTCAGCCTCCTGAGTAGCTGGGATTACAGGCGCCCACCACCACGTCCAGCTAATTTTTGTGTTTTTAGTGGAGACAGGGTTTCACCATGCTGGCCAGGCCGGTCTCAAACTCCTGACCTCAAGTGATCAGCCCGCCTTGGCCTCCCAAAGTGCTGGGATTACAGGTGTGAGCCACCGCGCCCAGCTCCAAGATACATATTATATGAAAAAAGCAATAAGCATTAAAAGGTTTTGGGAAAAAAATTAAATCGTAGAACTGGGGCTTGGCATGTGAAGGAAGTTTACATTTTTTTCTTTCCTTTTATCTCCTAATGAACATGTTACCTTCTTAGCTAAAAAATAAATTAAGATAAAATACAAATTAAGAATAAAACAATGAGGCGAGGGTTTGTTAACTGGACCAGGCAATTCCGCATGACAGCATTCAGGCTACTAGGGGTGGAGGTGACTTGATTCTTTCTTCTCCATCTGCCCCACTCCAAACGTCTCCCAATCTGCATTTTTCCCAATCTAGTCAATTCTTCCCTTTGGGCTCCAAACAAAGACACCATTGTTTTCTCTTCTTTAATCAAGATGGGATTTGTGTGCCTTCTCCTCCCTCTGAATGTAGCCCCCGATGGAAGATAAGGACAGAAGGCGCCCTAGAGGGTGGGGCCAGTGCCGCCTCCCCACCTCCCTGACCTCAGAATTGGAATTCCTCGCTTCACTCTGTGGAGCTCAGCAGCTTCCCCAGGAATGGCACGAGCCCTGAACTGCCTCCTTTATTCCAGCCAGCGTTGTTAAGTTATAACCAGCGTGGGTTTATGACCTCCCTGGGCCACATGGCTCCCTGCAAAGCCTTAGCCGGGAGCCCCACGGATGCGTGTGCCCTTCTCACCTGTTTATGGCCCTTTACATGGTCTTCTCTGCAGTTTTTTATATTGTCTGAAATCTTTTACAGAATATGTAGTCATTTTACAAATGAGCAAAATAAAACACTTTCCATAAATGCTGGACTTGAATGATGGGCTTGGCACATCGGGCACTTCCAAAGCAATAGTCTGCATTTCCCGCATGTTCGCTCCTGAGGACTCTGGCACTGCTGGTCCGCGGACCACCCTTTGAGTAGGGAGGGTGTGGACACTCAGTGCAGAGTCTCGTGCTTGCAAGGGCTGGTTATTATTTTTTTCCTCTAAAATACAGATCGCCTCCCTCTCCTCCCAAAGCAAATAATTGACTTCAACAGAGAGCCGTTCTTCGGAAGCATCCTAGCCTGTTCAACCTAAAACACTGAAATAAACCCAAAAGAATATCCTATAAATACTATATATATCCTAGAAACATAAAGGCCCATGATGTTTTTCACAGGCTATGAACTGAATACACATTCATTTCCTGGAAGTTCACGTCCCCTCTCTCTATTTTGAGCTGGTTAGCAGGCAAAATTTCCGATGTTGGCCTCAGTGATCCTGTCAACTTCACTGTAAAAGTACAGCAATTCCCTCAATTATATAGTGGCTGCACTGCTGGCTTCCCATCCAGACCGCTTTTCTGGGTCAGTGCCTGTCCCCAGCTGTTGTGAGGTTTCTGGCTGTCCCCCTCTTTAAGGAATCAGCAGCACTGGGCAAGTGACGTTCCAGATGCTCAGGAGTGTCTGCCTGACCTCACCCAGGGCAGACACAGCCCTCAGCCAACGTCAGACTGAAATGGGGGTAAAAAAAGTCCCTGCCTCCACCTTGCCTGTAGCAAGGTCCACCCTGGAGTCCATTCACACTCCAGATCCCCCCAGGGATGAGGTCAAGGCTGCACTCCAGCTAACAGCAAAACCCATGCTCATCCTCTGCCCTCACAGGCCCCTATTGACAGCCCTCCCTCAATAAACCATTTGATGGGAAGCTGCTTCCAAACCCCACCTAAAACAATTTGGATTGAAAATAGCCACTTGTTTGCTGATAACATTTTCACAAAATATTACAGAGATTTTCTGCACAGGTCAGTTTCTCTCTTCCAGTCTTCAATAAGACACCATTTAACTAACACTCCCTTCTCCTCTTTCTCTCTCTCTCTCTCTCTCTCTCTCACACACACACACACACACACACACACACACACACACTCCTCCAATTTACCTTTCTTGGGTGAACTCACAGGCAAAAAATAAGTCCTAATCTTTTATCTACTTGGATATTAATGTAAGACATTGTCAGGTTCTAGTTCCCCTGGATCTTTTTCAAGATGTTTCTTTGTGTTTTGAGTCTTTCCTTAGATATCCTGTTTGCTCAGTAGTTGCAGGGGATAGGAAGAGATGGGGGAGAAGGGGGTGGTGCATATTAACCCTGATTCTCTATCTCACTGTCTTTGCCCACCTCATCAATATGATAGCTACAATTCTCCAACAAAGGGTCCTGGGGTCCCAGATAAGTCTTTAAATTGGCCATGGCCTGGTCTAATTGGACTGCAAACACACACACCCCTCATTTAACTATCTGTCGTATTTATGTTAAGTGTCTATATCTTTGTTTCTGGCCTAAATATAACATTTATTTATGAAGAACCAACAGCAAAAATACAACACTCACAGCTCAGTCAAAGGCAAGACCAGGGCGCAGTGGCTCATGCCTGTAATCCCAGCACTTTGGGAGGGCGAGGCAGGCCGATCATCTGAGGTCAGGAAGTCGAGACCAGCCTGGCCAACATAGTGAAACCCCATCTCTACTGGAAATACAAAAATTAGCCAGGTGTAGTGGCATGTACCTATTATCTCAGCTACAGCTACCCGGGAGGCTGAGGCAGGAGAATCGCTGGAACCCAGGAGGCAGAGGCTGGAGTGAGCCTAGATGGGAGCCATTGTACTCCCGCCTGGGCAACAGAGCAAGACTCTGTCTAAAAAAAACAAAACAAAACAAAGCAAACAAACAAAAAACAAAGGTAAGACCAAATCCCCACTGAATTCCAGTAAGGTCTTTTGGAGCTGGTGAAGTTTGTTCACATGAACTAAAACATCATCTGAGAAACCCACATTTTTGCACTTTGTACCAACTATCTCTTTTGGACAGAGCTGAAGAGATGGCGGGGCAAGCCTGTTCCTCTGAGCTTGCCACCCGCTGATGTGTCAGGAAGCCCCGACTGCTGTTTCTGGTCTTTTATTACATGGAGACACATCTTCATCAGACAATAGGTCAGGATGGGGCAAATAGGTCTAAAACATTTCCATAGTTCCATTTGTTCATCACTTGAAGTGTCAAAATTATGACTAAAATTTTAAAATGTTATCTGTAGGTTATCTTAGTGCCATCCAATAGAAATTAAAATGCAAGCTGCTTTATAAGTTAACATTTTGTAGAAGCTGCAAACAAATAGGAAGAAATGGGTGAAATGAATTTTAATGCTATATTTTGTTTAACTCATTATGCCCAAAACACTACCATTTCAATGTAAAATCCACATTAAAAACTGAGATTTTTGGCCGAGCGTGGTGCCTTACGCCTGTAATCCCAGCACTTTGGGAGGCCGAGGCGGGCAGATCACCTGAGGTCAGGAGTTCGAAACCAGCCTGACCAACATGGAGAAACTCCAACTCTACTAAGAATACAAAATTAGTTAGGCATGGTGGCACATCCCTGTAATCCCAGCTACTCAGGAGGCTGAGGCAGGAGAATCACTTGAACCCAGGAGGCAGAGGTTGCAGTGAGCCGAGATCGAGCCATTGCACTCCAGCCTTGGCGACAAGAGCAAAACTCCTTCTCAAAAAAGAAAAAAAACAAAAAAATTGAGATTTTTACACCTTCTTTTTTTTTGCATTACAACTTGAAACTTAGTGTCTCTTTTGCGCATACAACACATCTCAATCTGGACCAGCCACTCGTCTGAGACTCAGGAGCCACCCATCATCAGTGGCCGTCAGACCAGCCAGCGCACCTCTAGGTTTTTCACTCCTAGCTGCCTCCTAAGCCCCAGCCTTTCCCCTAAAGCGATAATTGTGAAGCCCTTTGGGAAAGCGTCAGGTGGAAAGCGTCATTCACTAACTTAAATGATTTTCAGCACCCTCACAGGAGTCACTAGAAGAGTAGGAGATGGAGAAAATCTGAGAACCTCAGGTTGGGAGTCCGAGCGGGTACAGGCACCCTCTTTCTTGCTTCCTCTGTGGGCAGAGGACATCTTGGCACCACTGAACTCACACGCTCACAGGCTCCTCTACAACCTACTAAACCCCAAGCCAAGGTGTGCAGTTTGTACTACTAATAGGTCTGCATTTCCCTTTATCTCACCTTCCTCTAGAAGCAAGCAGGCTTCTAGAAACTGCAACAGGGCAGGCTGGTGAGGCCCCTGCCTCAGGGAGAAGGCTGAGGAAGGCACTGGGAGGCAAAGAGGGCAGAGAAGGAGACCCTACGGAGGAGAAAAGACCATTAACTTCAGGTCAGCCGGTTCTGGTTCTCAGCTCCACCACTGAGGGGTTGTGTGAGCTCCCTGAGCCTCGTTTCCTCATCTGCAAAAGGTGGGGAACAGCAGCACTGACCGCTTGGGGTAGTTTGAGATGAGAGGATAAAGGCTGGGGGCCTGGCATGAAGGACAGTGACCACGTGTGGCTTGCTTCTGTCTGCAGGAGCCATGGTACTCTCTGAAGGGTCTCCCAGTCTCTGCCGAGCCACCCTCCTCACTTGTTAAATCTTCTGCCTCCCAGGGTGGATGCCCCGTTCATATCGCCTTAGCAGACTGCCAGGCATCTCAGATGGTTCCTGCATCTCTCTGCCTAAGGATGCTCTCCAGGCCTGCAAAGGGCTGGGGTGGGCAGTGGGTGGGGAGAACTGCCTACGAGTCAGGAGGTCCAGGATGGACACCCAAGCAGGAGGGATGGGGGTTGATCGAGCAACCTGGAGTGCATTCTGTAGGATCTCCAGCGGGATGGAGCCCCCATTGCCCATAGTGATAACCCACTCATTATTATTGAGCTCTAATTGGCTGTCTTCCCTCCCGACCTCCCCTCCCTCCTCTACTGTGTTTCCTGGGATCACCTCCCAAATACACTGCTCACATTCAAATCCTTGTGTCAGTATCTGCTTCTTGGGCAACCCAAACTAAGACACTCCTCATCAGCCACGCCCTTCCTCCTTCCGTCCTGCTGTAGAAAGCTTGCTCATCCTTCAAGGCCCAGCTGAAAGACCACCTTTTCTAAGAAGCCTCCCTGACATGCAGTTAGAAACACGGCACCTCCCAGGACTTCCCTTTGGCATGAGCCACTTTTTCTTCTGTCTGGCATATCTGCTGTTTCCCTTGTCTCACAGTCAGATGTCTGAGTTATTCCTCCCTGTGTTGGCTGAGAGCTCCATGAGCACGAGGTGAATCCTAGGGCCTGTTACACATCAGGTCCTCAGGAAGCCTCTGCCAACTGTTGCAATTTTACTACTAGCAATAGCCAATGTTTACTAAGCACTTACAATGTAAGAAGCACGTTTATGTAATTCTGGCCCTAAAACCTCACAACCACCACTTTAAGTGGCAAGTATTAAAATTATCACACCCATTCTAGAGATGGAAAAACTAAGGTGAAAGATGAATAATTTAGACCAAGTCTCACAGTCAGTTAACTCAGATCAGGAGTTCTTAACTACTATGTGATCGCCTCAACTTGTAAACTCTTCTCTGAGAAGCTGCCAGTCCCTAATATTTCCCTTAGTCTCCAGCAATGGAGGATTAACTCAATCACAGGGGAGGCAACGCCATCAGCTCAGTGTTTATTCCAGTTGATGGTACCAACAGCCAGCCATGCTCCCTGGGCCCCTTGCACTGTGTCCTAGAAGCCAGGGTTGGGGGATTGACCACAGAGTCCACCCAGGCAGGGAATGCCCTAAGGACATCCTCAGAGATGATGTCCTTGAGACACCCTCAAGGAGGGGCTGAGACACCCTCCAGGGCCGCCAATGGCCAGCGACTTCAGGAGTGGCCCCGATTTCCTGCCCCTGGGTCAGGAGGAAAGCCCAGCTTTGCTTCTGCTGGATGGGTCCCTTGACAGCCTCAAGACCTTCCCCTAGGCCTCTTATAAGACCCCCCACTGCCCTATGGATCCTCCACCACTCCCTAAGCATTCTCCTCACCCCCACCCGATGGCCAGCTTAGCCTCACAGAGGTCACACTTTTACTGATTCACTGGTGCTAGGAAAAGAAGCCATATAACCAGACCCAAAGAGCACACTGTGGGATTCCATTTACATCAAGCTCAAAAACAGGCAACAGTAACTTAAGCTGTTAGAATTTGCAACAGTGGTTTTCCTTGGAGAGAAAGAGGTGGACTGGGAGGGGTAGTGACTTCTAGTGGCTGGAAATATTCTGTTTCTTGGTCTGACTGCTAGTTGCACGAGTGTGTTCACTTTGTAAAACTTCCTAAATTCACTGAGGTCGACACTTAGGATCTGTGCACTTTTCTGGAGGTATATTAAACTGAAATGAAAAGTTCTCTTTAGAAAAAGTTTTTGGCTGGGTGTGGTGGCTCATGCCTCTAATTCCAGCATTTTGGGAGGCCAAGGCAGGTGGATTGCTTGAGCCCAGGAGTTTGAGACCAGCCTGGGCAACATGACGAAATCTCATCTCTACAAAAAGTACAAAATAAAAAAAAAAATTAGCTGGGAGTGGTGGCACGCACCTATAGTCCCAGCTACTAGGGGGGCTGAGGTGGGAGGATCAGTTGATCCCAGGAGTTGGTGGCTGCACTCCAGCCTGGGTGAGAGAGAAAGATGTTGTCTCAAAAAAAAAAAAAAAAAAAAAAAAGAAAGGAAAAGAAAAGAAAAAGTTTTAAAAAAGGAAAACAGAAAAGAAATATGTTAGGATTCCAGCCACTCTCTAAGGTGGCAGAAACTCTTTCCAGACCAGGGAGGCAGCTCACGACCAATCCTCTAAGAGCAATCACGCATGATATGAACTAGAAAATAGGATGCAGAGGCCTAAGAAGGAACCTGTATGAGGGCTGAGTAGCTGGGAGCCCCATCTGGAGGGAGGAAAGTGTCTTCCCATCCCTACCAAAATACCAAGGACTGAAATAGTAAACCCTTTTTTTTTTTTCCTTGAAACCAGGTCTTGCTCTCTTGTCCAGGCTGGAGTGCAGTGGCACAATTATAGCTCACTGCAGCCTCAAACTCCTACGTTCAAGCGATCCTCCAGCCTCAGTCTTCCAAGTAGCTAGGACTATAGGCATGCACCACCATGTTTGGCTAATTTTAAAATTTTCTTGGGCAGACAGAGTCTTTCGATGTTGCCCAGGCTGGTCTCCAACTCCTGGCCTCAAGCAATCCTCCCACCTTGGCCTCCCTAAGTGCAAGGATTATGAGAATGAGCCACTGCACCCAGCCTGCAGGTAGCAAATTCTATAAGTCTGTTGGGAGGGTGGGTGGTAGCCTGGATAGGGTTGAATGGGTTAAGATGGGATGGGATAGGATGAGCTGAAATGGATTGGAGTGAGATGGGCTGGTCTGAGGTGGGCTGTGATAGGACGAGATGGGATAGGACGCGATGGGCTAGGATGGGCTGAGATAGGATGGGGATTTGAAGATAGGACCCACATTGTAAAGGCCTTTACACGAAGCCCAGCAAGATGAGAGATGAGGAGTCTGGATTTCATTCTGTTCAGAGTTGGAGATTTCTTGGGGAAGTCGAGTCCTTAGAATTCTCCTGGAGGGATCACTCTGGCAGAGGTGTGGACAATGGAGCTCAGGCGGGAAAGCATGGAGGCCAGGTGTTTCTAAGATAGAAGCAGTGAGGCCGAGACCAGAGGCCAAGGGCACCCCCAGCACTCTGTGAAGAACTGGAACTGGGGAGAACCTGGATTCCCACTTCCTAAGTCAGGAAACTGAGGCAGGTCCAAGGACAGGAAGGCGATTGCCTGCCAGGCTCCAGTAGAAGGCTCGGCGCTCCTAAAGGCAATGAGCTCCTTTTTGTCTCCCAGGAGGAACACGATGCTATCCAGAGACAGGCTTATGTCCCAAGAGAGAAGCATAAAATACTCATTGTGGGGCCACAAGACCCACATTCCAGCAGCCAGGACCAAAGGGCTGAGCTATGGCAGGCCCCGTGTGTGCCATGCATCATGATTCTCAGAATACTTCCAGCCAGGGATCCGTTTTGAGCCTCACTAGAACTCACATCAGTATCTCCATTTTGCAGCGGTGAAAGGCAGGCTACCACAGGTGGCTCACCTGGCCCAAGGTGACACAGTTGGCAGGTGGCAGAGTCAGGAGGTGAACCCAGAAGGATTGGCCCTAATGCCCCATCATCTTGTGATCTTTCTTTTTTTTTTTCTTTTTTTGAGACAGAGTCTTGCAACGTCACCCAGGCTGGAGTGCAGTGGCATGATCTTGGCTCACTGCAACCTCTGCCTCCCAGGTTCAAGTAATTCTCCTGCCTCAGCCTCCCAAGCAGCTGGGATTACAGGTGCCCACCACCACGCCCAGCTAATTTTTTTTGGATTTTTAGTAGAGACAGGGTTTCACTATGTTGGTCAGGCTGGTCTCGAACTCCTAACCTCGTGATCCCCATCTTGTGATCTTTCTAGAAACACAACATTGTTCCATGGTCTCGACCTGCTTCTTTGGTGGGGAAGAAACAGGAGCTCTTGGCCAGAATAACAAAACAGAGAACAAAGCCCGTGCTCCCCACTCACCTGTGTGGGTGCGGACGTGCCTCTTCAGGTCGAAGGTGTCATTGAAGCCTTTGCCGCAGAAGGTGCACAGGTGTCTTTTCACCTGATTGTGGCACTTGAGGTGACGGTTCAGCATGCGTTGCAGACGGAAGCCCTTGCCACACAGGTCGCAGCTGTGAACCACCGAGTCGCTGCACGTGCCTGTGGTGAACTGGGGGCAGAGAGAGGCTGTGAGGGTCCCCGAGCAAGCAGGCACATCCAGTAGGTTCACTCCAGAGACCCACCTCCTGTGTCTTGAGGCTTGCCCCGTCTGCAGCTTCTGCCCCTAAAATTTTCAAGCAGGTTTTTGCTTTGGGAAAGGTGAAATAACAACTGGCGGTTCCTCCCACTTTTTTTCTTTTTTTTTTGAGATGGAGTCTCACTTCGTTGCCCAGGCTGGAGTACAGTGGCTCGATCTCAGCTCACTGTAACATCTACCTCTCGGATTCAAGCAATTCTCTTGCCTCAACTCTCCAAGTAGTTGGGACTACAGGGGCACATACCACCATGCCTGGCTAATTTTTGTATTTTTAGTAGAGACGGGGTTTCACCATGTTGGCCAGGCTGGTCTCAAACTCCTGACCTCAGGTGATCCATCTGCCTCAGCATCCCGAAGTGCTGGGATTACAGGCATGAGTCACAGTGCCCCGGCCAGTTCCTCCCACTTTTAATTCTCCCCTTCTTCCTTAGAACAAACCTCTGACTTCTAGCTGGGCATACTGTCTTACAGCATCCTATAGGCATATGATGGGGTATGGATGTTAGGCCCCTCCAAATGTCGTGTTGAAATGTGATCCCCAGTGTTGGAAGTGGGGCCTGGTGGGCGGTTACAGGGGCAGATCCCTTATGAATGACCTGGTGCCGCCCCGGTAGTAAAGAGTGAGCTCTTATTCTCATCAGTTCATGGGAGAGCTGGCTGTTTAAAAAAGCCTGGCGGCCAGGCGTGGTGTCTCCTGCCTGTAATCCCAGCACTTTGGGAGGCTGATGTGGGTAGATCACCTGAGGTTGGGAATTTGAGATCAGCCTGACCAACATGGAGAAACCCCATCCCTACTAAAAATACAAAATTAGCCGGGCGTGGTGGCGCATGCCTGTAATTCCAGCTACTCGGGAAGCTGAGGCAGGAGAATCACTTGAACCTAGGAGGCAGAGGTTGCGGTGAGCCAAGATTGCGCCATTGCACTCCAGTCTGGGCAGCAAGAGCGAAACTCCATCTCAAAAAAAAGAAAAGAGCCTGGCACTTCCTCCCCCTCTCTTGCTTCCTCCACCATGTGACACACCTATTCCCCTTCTGCCTTCTATGAGTGGAAGCTTCCTGAGGGCCTCACCAGAAGAAGACACCAGCACTATGCTTCTTGTACAGCCTGCAGAACCATGAGCCATAAACCTCTTCTCTATAAATTAGCCAGTCCCAGGTATTCTTTATGACAACGCAAAATGGACTAAGACAGCATGGCCATGGACTACCTGGCCAATGAAATAGAAATCTCCTTGAAGGGGAACAATTGGTGCCCTCTTCCTCCTTTGCTCCTTCCTGCTGACTACAGCGCCAATAGCCACCTTGGCCCATGAGGTGGAAGTGCGTGCTGAGGATGGAGGAGAAGAAAGGAGTCTGGGTCCTGACGACGTCATGGAGCCTGGTATGTTATATTACAGACAGTACCCAAAGACAGCCACACTCAATTCTGTCCTCCTTGTGCCTGCATCCTGCTCCATTTACCAAGAGATGGAGACTGTTTTCCCTCTCCTTGAATCTGGGTAGGGCTTATGACCAGTTGGATCAATAGAATGCAATGAAGATGTGTCTGTTCCAGGTTTTAAGAGACCCTGCAGCTTCCACTTCTTCCCTCTTGTAAGCCAGCTGCCACATAAGAAGTCTGAGGCTACCATGCTGTGAGGAAGCCCATGCTAGCCATGTGGACAGCCAAAGGCCACATGGGGGAGCACAGAGGAGCCAGATATGAATAAAGCCTCACTGGACTCTCCAGCCCAACTCAGGGCTGCCACCAGCTGAATGAGTGGCCTCCGCTAATGCTACTCAGAGTAGAACTGCCTGGCAGAGCCATGCCTATAGCTTTTGTCTTGACCCACAAAATCATAAACGCATAAAATTATCAGTTTGTAAAGTGACTTGGTCAGGACTCCACAACTTTGTTACACAAAGCAAACACAACCAGACCTGGGTCTGGGCTCCCTGCTGAGTGCTTTCCACCACCTTTGCTACTGCTGAGGAAGAACATAGAATCTACATCTGTGTGATAAAAATGATGTGTTCAATTTTAGTATCTGATTTGGTAACTTTCGAACATGTGACGTGAATGTTACCAAATCAGACCCTTTAGAAGATGGATCCCATTGCTCTGCCAAAATTCATCACTAGCAAGAAGACTGGTTCTTTCCTGGCTCCATGCTCTCCCAGCTTCAAATACTCTCCTCTTTCATCCACCCTGGGTATTGCCCTCCCAAGACTCAAGGGAGCTCAGTTGCTCCCTTGCCAACGCAGCCTTCTCCAAATACTGCAGCCCATGACTAAACTGCTCACTGTCCCACGTAAACCAGTGCCTCTCAGACTCCAGCATACCTATGCCTCCCCTGGGGTCTTGTTAAAATGCAAGTTCTGATTCAGGAGGTCTGGTAGGGTCTGATGTGCTGCATTTCTAACCAGAGCCCAGGAGATGCCACTGCAGCTGGCGCACATGCCACACTAGCCCTGAGAAGTCATGCTATATTCCATCTCATTCCCAAGATTCACTATGCACACAGTTCATCTGGTTTTCTCAACTCAACACCTTGAGGATGGTCGGCAAGCATTCAGTCCCATTCCTGCCTCCCTACCCCCTGCTCCAAGCCTAGTCTAGGGCCAGTGCACAATCAGTATGTGCTGACCGGCAGCTGGGAGCAGGTGGCAGGATGCAGAGTCTCAAGGGAGGCACAAGACCCCAGAACAGGGTATTCCAGTCAGCCTTTTCCACCAGTTCATTTTCCTTTGCTTGGAGCTTAATTTGCTCCAGCTAACACTGAGAAGTCCCTGATCCGTGACAAGCCCTGTGCTTACAGCTGGAGGCAATACAGTTAGAGATGGTTTAATCCCCAGTCCCTAGGAAGCTGCCGAATCTAGTGGGGGTGCAGGCAAGTCAACAGCCATTGACATCTGAGAGGCCCAGGGGTCCAAGGGGGCACCTACTCTGGACCTGCAGCACCAGGGAAGATGTTTCCAGAGGAAGTGAGCTCCTTAGCCAGGCAAACATGAGGAGGAAAAGGGGCGCACAGCAAAGAACATTCCAGAAGAGGACGGTGGGAAAGAGGGAACTGTGTGTGGTTCAGCATGGCTAGCCTGAGCCTGGGAGAGCAGTTAATGAAGAAAGCAGTGGTAGCTGAGAAGAGCAAGATCCCCTTAGGAGTCCACCTTGAGGGCCCTACTGGAGCTGGAATGTAGTCAAAGGGCAAGAGGGAGCCATTGGAAGACAAAGGGGGACCATCACAGCGGCTGAGTTCAATGACCCAGTTGAGTCCTGGATCCTCATCAACTGCCTCACTCCCCAGAACTGCAGCTGCCCACCTCTGCCCAAGGCTTTCCTATCACCCAGGCAGATCACGTTCTCCTCCTTGTCCGACAGACCTCATCCTGCTCACAGCCACCCTTGGAGGGATTTGAAAAGACTAAATATGCTCCACTAAGTACTTTGAACTTCTAAAGACCAAGTGCGCACAAGGACATGTGAGTGGTAGTGAGGGGCTAATGAAATAGAACAAAGACAATTACCCTGGTAATTCCAATTAAAATTAGTAAAAACCTGCAACTGTCTTTTGAAAGTCTTGTAGAATGTCCCTAAGGACTCACCAACCACAATTCAAACATGAACTCTTGTTTAATCTTTTTGATAAATTTCTATTTTTAAAATGCTCTGAATGCCATACAGATGTCTTCTATTGCAGTCTAGAGTGAAAATCTCAAATCACAGGCATTATTTTGTTTGAAAAGAATAAGATCTTAAAGGACACAGGAAAGGGAGATCAGTGACAGTTTAAGGGAGTAGGGGGCCAGTAGATCATCTGACCAAGACATAGAAAGCACTTCATTTAGTTTTGTTTGTTTTCAACCTTTTTTAGAGATGAAATCTCACTATGTTTCCCAGGCTGGTCTTCAACTCCTATCCTCAAGGGATCCTCCTGCCTCAGCCTTCCAAAGTACTGGGATTACAGGCATGAGCCACCATGACTCTCCAGGAAGCTTTATAAAACAGGGGAGAAAATGGGAATGGAGAGAAGGGGTTGGAGACTCAGGGCACACCTAATTCTCAAGGGGACCTTTCCTCTGGTTTTCTTGGAGCAAAAATGAAAATTCTCCACATACCCGTCAGCAAAGGCAATTTTTTCATTTCTCCCCATTTCACAGCATGGAAAGCTGAATCACCAAGAAGTGGCTCATGTAGGGAATTCACCCTGTGGCACACCCTCCAATCCATTAAGTGCTGCTTACCACCCTTATGACCAATCCAGACATCAGATATTAACAAATTACACTCAAAGTCTTCAGGAGCCTTGTTGAAAAAGATGTAATGTTACTTAATGGCAAAAAATCATGGCTGACAAAGCCAGCTTCTGCCAGACTATTTCACTTCTCAGAAAGGAAGGGATCTTTGTAAATTCCTAAACATGAAATTTATCCCCAAAAGTATATTAAATGTGGCTTGTGCCTTGAAATTTGGTTTGTAATAGCAAAGGACTGGAAACTAAATATATGTCTATCAACAGGAACTTGTTAAAAAATGATGGCAGAGGGCCGGGCACAGTGGCTCAAGCTTGTAATCCCAGCACTTTGGGAGGCTGAGGCAGGTGGATCACCTGAGGTCAGAAGTTTGAGACCAGCCTGGCCAACATGGAGAAATCCCATCTCTACTAAAAGTACAAAATTAGCCAGGCACAGTAGTGCATGCCTGTAATCCCAGCTATTCAGGAGTCTGAGGCAGGAGAATCGCTTGAACTTGGGAGGCAGAGGTTGCAGTGAGCCGAGATTGTGCCATTGCACTCCAGCCTGGGCAATAAGAGCAAAACTCCACCTCAAAAAAAAAAAAAAAAAAAAAAATGATGGCAGAACCTTACAATTAATGCACTGGACAAAGGTAAGAGGCTAGAAGCAGTTCAAGTGTCACCTGCCAGCCATGTGAGTGA